AAGAACTGTAAATCTTTGAGGCTGGAGAGACTGCTCTACAGTTAAGAGTTACTGGTGCACTTACACTGACCTGAGTTTAGTTCCTAGCACCCATGTCAGGAAACACACAACTACTATAACTCCAGCTCTGATATGTCTAGACACCTATACTCATGTGTACATACCTGTACACATATTTTTTAAAGAATAAAAATAAATTTAGAAAGCAAAAAGAACTGCAGGCTTAAAAAAGACCAAATACTAGGGTTCTTTTTAAATCTCTGCTATGTAAAGGCAAAGAGGCACTATCAAACTATAGCTAACTGCAGAGCTTCACCTAAGGGTTAAGATATATTGCATCTTGAGATGTAGAAGTTGAATACATTTATAGGTTAAAAACAAATTAATCACTTATGTAGAAAAATAATAAAACTTTTATATCCATGAAAATTATAAGATTTATAAGTTTATAATACAATTACATACATATTATATTATAAACATAACATTTATAAAATATATAAAATCCATGAAAATCCTTTCCTTAAATGAGCCTCAGTTTGTTCCCATCCCTTCCCCCAAAATAAGAATATATATGTAAGAAAACAAGCGTGCCTTCAACTCCTTAGCACAAGATGCTGCACTATATGCCGGAAGGACAGAAGAGAAACACACATCGTCCAGACACTGCCAGTAAGAAGTTCAACCTTCAGCGACATTCCACTCTAGTGACAGGCTCCCCATCTGTAAACCGCCTGCCCAGATCCTCCTTTTCACCCAGGATTCTACAAGCAGACCTCTGTGACTTAAATATCTAATTTTTCCTTGGAATGAGCCACACCACATAATATAGCTTAAACATCATTACCATAAAACCTTTCAAAAGATAAAGGCTCTCCACCTTCTTACTTCCCTTCCAATCATGTTGACTTCCCACTAGTGTGGAAGGCAGTGGCCATTTTGGTTTCTACAGTAGTACAAGTACTGTTTTCTCTCTTTTCAAACAGACCCATTAAGCATTGCTTGAGCTTTGTGTGAGGGCACACATGTGTGCGTGTGTGTCTGTGGATACACACACGCATAAAATCTGCCTGTGGAAACAAAAGTTGATGCCTTCTTCAGGTACTTTCCACCTTACATTTTTAGGACACGGTTTCCACCGAACCTGGAGCTCACTACTTCACTAGTTTACGTGGGTAGTAAGCTCCCAGGACCCTGCGGCTTACACCCCCTGGTAATGCCCTGCTTTTACATGGGTGCTAAGAATCTAAACTCAGGTCCTCACACTTGCTTGGCAGGCGCTTTAGTCAGACATCTCTCCAGCCCCCACGCTGTTGTAATTGCTAATCACACTCAGAACCCTCAAGTGGCTTGACTGTCTATAAATTTAAAAATCATCTCCCCCTCTCTAATATGCACACTATACATAAATAATTTAAACTTTTTAAAAGAAACATGTACTTACATAAGTACCAAAATCATGTACTTTGTGAGGTAAACATTCTCAGCCAGGTTAATTTCAGTTGTGAGGCCCTTTAACTGAGATGAAGATTTATTTACTTTTAAAATTCTGTCTTACCTTTTTCAAACTATATGCCAAATTCATAAATGCCAAAATCTACATGAATAGAAAGAAAACCTAAAAACATTTAACCAACTTCTTTGGCTCCAAAGTGATGTGGCTCCAAAGCTCTATGGATGTTCTGCTTAGAATCCAGAAAACAGTATATTTTGCATGATGGTCATGACATGACCTCTGTAAACTGGCACAGTGAGGAGTACTGTGCCAAAACTAAATCTAAAAATGTTCATTCTAAATGTTCACACTAAATCAAAGGTTCATTTGGTTATAGTCAAGACTTAACCAACAAAATCGAAGGCTGAAAGACTCATGGTGACCATTAATTCTTCCCCAAGGTCAATACTGAAAACATTTACTAAAGGGCTGGACAGCCCTCCCCAAGGATCTGTAGGCGGCTAATGGCTGCCAGGGGAGGGAAAGATATTCTCTTCCGTGGTATAACCACTGGTGAGGTGTTCATGATCCTGTAAACAAGTCTAATGAATAGTAGAAGGGGGACTAGCTGGGGAAAGGAAGGAGACTAATGAGAATGGAAGGCATAAAGAAAATGTACAGGGAACCGAATACAATCAAGATACACTCTATGCACGTATGGAAATGTCATAATGAAACCCACTATTATGTATAATTAACATATCCTAATAACATCAATTTCCTAAAGTTACTTTAAAAAAAATCCCTAGGTCCCTTCTCTTTTATAGCTACTAGCTCCCTTTTCTTTTACATTTTTATTGAAAAAAAAATTGAATATAATCTTATCACACTTTCCCCTCCTCCAACTCACAAAAACAGGAAGATAAAAAAAGACAAACAAAAACCCAAAAATGGAAAACAAAGTTGAAAAAAACAAGCAAAGGATCAATAAGGCAAATATATGCCCAAAAAATATGACCCAAGCATATACTTCTAGATATACAACCAAAGGATTCTCTATCAACATGCTAGAGACATCTGCATGTCAATCTTTACTGCTATTCTACTCAGAACAGCCAAAAAATGGAACCAGCCTAACACCAACAAATAGATGGATAAAGAAAACTGATAAATATACACAATGGAACTTTATAAAGCAATGAATAAAGTAGAATCATGACACTAAATGAAATAAACCAGATCTAAAAAGGCAAATACCACCTTTTCTTTAATGCACAATTTAAATTTTAAATTCTATATGCACCTGTATGCGTGCATGCACATGTGTATGTGTGTGTCTCTGTTTGTGTAAGAGAGAGCGATGAAACTAGAATGGGAATCATGAGAGAAAGAGTTCTTAAATGAGTTAGAAAATAGAATAATGGAATACATGTAATTAAAAAAAAAAAAACAGAAGGAGGGGACAGGAGCTCTACAAGGAGAGGAAAAAAATTCTGGGCCCAGGGATCCTTTCTGAGACTGATACTCCATCTAAGGACCATTCATGGAGATAACCTAGAACCCCTGCATAGATGTAGCCTGCGCAGCTCAGTAGGTTCCCTAGTAATGGGAACAGGGACTGTCTCTGACATGAACTGATTGGCCTGCTCTTTGTTCACCTCCCCCTGAGGGGGGAGCAGCCTTACCAGGCCACAGAAGAAGACGATGCAGCCAGTCCTGATGAGACCTGATAGACTAGGAACAGAGGGAAGGGGAGGAGGACCTCCCCTATCAGCGGACTTGGGGAAAGACATGGGAGGAGATTCGGGAGGGAAGGTGGGATTGGGTGGGGACTAGGGATGGGGCTACAACTCGTTTACAAAGTGAATAAACTCTAATTAATAAAACAATAAATAAATTTTTTAAAAAGGTAACACCTTCATAAAATTGACTGTGCAATATATAGGTCCTATGGCCACGTCTAATTATTCATACTTACGAAAACAAAATATTTTAATTATGATAAGCAATATCTCTGAATGTAAAATAAAATTATAATACTATCTTTTGAAGAAACTAATATTTTTAATAAAAATGTAAAAAAAATTAATATCACAAAAAAAACAGAAGGGAGAACTAACAGGGGGAAAAACAAAAATAACCTAAACAAGGGCAGGAGCACAGAAAATGACAGTGGGGGAAGGGCATAAGTGAGAACAGAGAATAATAACACATGTAAGAAGATGCCTTTAAAAAAACAAACAATTATTGGCATGCATGGGAATGCATGCCTTTAGTCTCAGCACTGAGGAGGCAGAGGCAGGCAGAGCTCTTGAGTTCAAGGCCAGCCTGGCTACAGAGTGAGTTCCAGGATAGCCAGGACTACACCCTGTCTCAAAAAAGAAAAAGAAGAAAAAAAAAAAAAAAAAGAAAGTATTTTTTAAAAAATACCACAGAGCTGATCATGGTGGCACAGACCTTTAATCCAAGCACTTGGAAGGCCAGACTGGTCTGCATACCAAGTACCAGGCCAGACATGTCCATATAAGTGAGGACTCTGTCTCAAAACACAAAGCGAACAACAACCATACACAGGCAAACACGCACAGAGCAGTATCTCATGCACTAAGGACCATTTCTAATATGAAAAGTTTGTATAGTTAGCTAAAAGTACTGAACTCAGAAAAGACTTCTTTGCAGAATAAAAAAATAAACCTTCTAACAACAGCTTACAAAGACTGAGTGTCATGGCTAACATACCCATTCCAATGTGATCTAAACTCTATTAAAGGGTCTAAAATTGACAAGCTGCTTGCATCTGATCAAGTCTCTTTCCTTCCCTGGGTATTCCTTTCTTCAGATAATTAGAGAATGAGACTAGCTAATCTCAAATTAAATGAAGTGACAATATTCATAACATAACTCTCTTTCAGCAAAGGCAAGTAAATTTGTCTAGCAGAGGTCTGGAAAAAGCAGCCGTTAGAAAAGTCAGCTTCTGGCTGGGGGTAGCAACATGTGCCTTCAAGCCCAGCACAGGAAGGGGAGGAGGACTTCCCCATCAGTGGACTAGGGGAGGCACAGGGGAGAGAAAGAGGGAGGGAGGGCGGGATTGCGAGGGGACGAGGGAGGGGGTTACAGCTAGGATACAAAGTGAATAAACTGTAATAAACAAACAAATATATATGTATATATGTATTGTACACCAAAAAAAAAAAGACTTCCGATTTCAAATACTATACAAAGTCGAGTTAAATTCATCTCTGACACAAACTATCACCATCAGTCACAGAGTGAACAACATAGCTCATCACTCTGTTAAGATGGTTAAGAACACTGGCTGTTCTTCCAAAGGTCCTGAGTTCAAGTCCCAGTAGCCACACGGTGGCTCATAACCATCTATAGTGATATCTGGCGTGTAGGCACACATGCAGATAGAATGCTGTATTAAAAAAAAATAAGATTTTCATTTATGAAGGATTTTCCTAAAATGATAAGAAGTAATTAAGACAATTGGCAAGGAGAACTCTGTGTCTAACTGAATATTTGAAAACCCGTTTGGTGAAACTGTCACAAACTAAGGACCTACTTGCTTCATGGCAGTCTCTCCAATTTTGTCTGAATGCTTGCGGATGCTCTCCAGAAAGTCTTTGAGATCAGACATAGAAACATCCTTTATCTCCTCCCGAAGCTTGGGGATGTTGTCCACCATCACCTTGCAGAATCGATAGTGGCTCACTTGAGGCAGATAGGTATGTTCCAGATGCTCCAGAGTCTTCAGAGCAGGATAGTGCCTGCAAAAAACAACCAACCACCTGAGCTGACCTTCTTCTTCCTTAGAGGGACAAAGACATTACTCGAGAAAAATTCTAACCTGAATTAGCTTTCACTGAACACTTAGACAAACCCAGTGCAGTGTTTCAGTGAAAACTTCTTAACTAGTAAAAATTAATAGGCTTTAAAGACTAATAAATCAGAAACATCCAAACAATGAATAAATATGAATACCAAATGAAATTAAATATAATTTTAAATTACCTCAATGTCAGAAGAGCATTCTATGAAAAGAAACAGCCCAAGAAGATTCTAATGATAACAAAGGGAAGAATGTGTAAAGTCATGTGCATGTGTTTGTCTGTGTGTGCTGTGTGCATGTGCCCATGTGCAACACAAAAGTATCCAAATCAATCCATTACAATCATTTTAGGAATTCAGGAAAATTAATAAAACTGATCCATAGAAATGCTGCTACCAAGTCTAGCCCAGGGCACTTCCATTATTACTTCACTTGCAGTTCCCCTGGGCCTCACCATTAGTCAGTCATAGCAAGTCTTGTGAAAAACAGCAGTTCCACGGACATTAAGACAAGACATATTAAGAGCAAAGGATGGAAAATATATAAAATGTTAAAGGAAGTAAATATATGTGCTAAAATAAAAAGATTAACATGTTTTAATTTCTTTGAAAAAATATTTGTAAAGTAATAATTTAACAGAATACATTTGGGTTCATAAAATGTATAAATATCATAAACATATCAACAGCAGACAGGAAGAGGAAAAAAGAAAATGAGGTACTTAAAACTAGCAGGGTATGTGTATCAAATTTGTACAGGCAATTAAAGGAAGCTGCAATTATCTGAGATGCATATTTTATTCCTATAGCAAACTCCAAGAAAGTAAATCAAAAGAATATTTTTAAAGGGGTTGGAAAAGTTGAAAAGAGCCCTGGGAGCACTTGCAGAGTACTGGGGCTCAGTTCCCAGCAACCATATAGCAAATTCACAGCTGTCCATAACTCCAGTACCAGGAGATCTAGCGCCATCTTCTGGACACCTCAGGCACTGTATGTACATGGTGTCTGTACATACATACAGGCAAAACATCCAGACACTTAAGGTAAATTGTCTAAAAATGCTTTTAACATTTTTCAAAATCAATAAAATAAATAAAAGTGTACACTACAATAAATTTAAAACAAAAAATAGGAGAAACAGAAAACAAAGAGACTGGAAAAAAGTATGAAACAAGAAAATCTAATTTTCAAAAACTACATTAAAGATGAAAGGGCTATAAACTCCAACTAAAAAGCATAACCATATTTTGTCTACAAGAAACATACTATAGATTGAAAGACTCAAATAGTTTAAAAGTGAAAGATGGACGATAAACTGTAGAGTAACTTCAAATAACTGAAACCGGTTTTTTGTTTGTTTGGTTTTATTTTTTTGGTTTTTGTTTTTTTGAGACAGGCTTTCTCTGTGTATCCTTGGCTGTCCTGGACTTTCTTTGTAGACCAGGCTGGCCTTGAACTCACAGAGATCCATCTGCCTCTGCCTCTCCCAGTGATGGGATTACAGATGTGAAATCAGTATTTTTAAGTTTCTTTATTGATTTCTTAGTGTACAAAACGGGCTTTATAACAAAATTTTTCATATATATATCATTGCATCTTGCTCAAATTTATTCCCCCAGTATCTTTCTCCTTCCTTTTTCCTCCTCTTTCATTAATCATTATCCTCCCCTCAAATGGCCTCCACAGCATTCATATAACAAAGAATGCTAATATGTGCAGTTAAACCTAGATTCTGCACATAAAAGAAAACAATGCTTGCTTTGTATTCCACCATTTGTTTCTCCTTCTCAACGTTTCTATCTCTTCCTCCTTCCTCAGTCACCTATTACTATTTCATATGTGTTTATTACATAACACTAATTATTATATAAAATATGTATGTCTAGCCTAGATTTATTCTTTCATTTTAATGCAGTATGGAAAGTAAGAGAATTCATAACATTTTCATGCCATTAAACTTTATTCATACATATATTTAAACTTAAAGCTTATGCATAAGAGAAAGTATTCAGTATTTGTCTGAGTCTAACTTACTTAACATAATGGTCTCTCCATGCTCCATTTTCCAGCAAATGTCCTAATTCCACTTCTCTTTATGGGGGAATTAGGTAGATGAACCACATTTTTTTAATCCATTCACCTGGTGATAAGCACCAAGGTTGGCTGCATACCTTGGATATCATGATTAGCAGCATGCTGTGGAAGTACCTCTCTGGTGTGCTGGTTTAGCACCCTTCAGGGATATACCCAGGAGAGACAGAGCTCGATAATATGACACTTCTATTAGCTTGATAATGAGACTTGTTAGCTTTTTGAAAAATCTTTAAACTGTTTTTCCACGGTGGCTATATCTTCATGGGTGTCCTTACTTTATAAATGTAAAGTATTTTTCCCACATCATCAGCATGTTCTGTCTTTTCTGTAGGGAAAGGGAAAGATAACTGCTATTCTGACTAGGATGAGACAAAGATGGAATTTCCTTTTATCTGTTTTGTATTTGTTGTTTTAAAACATTTTTTTTTTTGCTTATGTGGGGGGAAAGCCAGTGATAGGCACATGTGGAGGTCAGAGGACAACTTACAAGAGTCCTTGCTGATGGACATTTGTACCCAGCAAGAAGCTCACTGAAGGTTTAGTTTGCATTTTCCTGGTGGCTAAAGACTGAGTATTCTTTTCACGTATTTTTAGCCTATTGGTTTTCCTTTTTGAAAAACTGTATATTCAGCTCATTTTCCTATTTATTGATTTCATGTTTGATTTCTTTTAAATCTTTATCATATCTTGATATTAATCAACTATCAGATACAAAATTGACAAAGAATCTGTTAAATTCTGTGGATGTCACCTCAGTCACCTTATTCTGCTGGCTGTCTTTTCTTTTTTTTTTTTTTTTTTTTCCTATACAGAAGCTTTTTATTGTTTTGTAGTCTTGTTTGTGAATTCTTGTAATTGTTTCCCAAGTTCTGAAATCTTGTTCAGGAGGTCCTTACCAACAACTATATCTAGAGGTGTTTTCCTTATGTCTGTTTGTCTTCAGTAGTTTCAATTCTTAAAAATAAGGTCTCTGATCCATGAACTGAGTCTATTAACATGATTTAAAGATATTAAGCACTTCTGACAACTCAGAGAGACATAATAAAAGAAAGGGTACTATTCAAATGGCAGATAGGAAAGCTTCTAAAGGCATACTAAGATTCATAAATTGACTAAAAACAACTAGCTGAGTGTAGTGGCACAGGTCTATATCCCAGAATTTGGGAGGCAGTGGCAGAAAGATTAAGAGTTCAAAGTAAGCCAAGACTGTATGAAAATCTGTTTCCAAAAAGTTAATGCACATGTATAACTTTTTTTTTTTTTTTTTACATAAAAACTAGGCATGGTAGCACTCACCATAATCATGGCACTCAAAGGGCCGAGGTAGGAAAATCATCATGTTTGGGGCCAGCCTGGGCTACATAATAAAATATTGCCAAGAAAGAGTGGGGCGGGGGGAGAAAAATATAAGATGGATCTGGTGACACGTGTCTTTGATGACAAAAGGTAGAGGCAGGAGGATCTCTCTAAGTTCAAGGCCAGCCTGGTCTACACAAAGAATTCCAGGCCAGTTATATGGTGACACTGTGTCTTAAAAACAAAAAGAAAAATAAATGCTTTTTATTATGATCCTGTATACACATTTAAAAATCTTTATAAGTTTCTTATTCCCTATTTTTTAAGTCAGACTATAGTTAAGGGTTTCATTTCTGCCGTCCCCTCCTGCCCGCCCTGCTGCCCCTCTCTCTTCTCAGTTCCAACATATCACATATCACATGCCCCACTGCTTTGTCCTTCACGCCCAGGTACACCTTAACACCTCTCTATCCTTCTCAAGGCATTCCTTCTGCTTTCAGGGCTTCAAAAGAAGTTTTAATGGACAAAAACATAAAGCCTCTTGAATTACAGAGTAATATATATTAGAAAATAAAACAAAGTAACACAGGTATTAAATAAGAGGGAACTGGCTGGCTAAACAAACTATGATATACCATGTATTAAAATATCAATAAACTGGTCAAAGTATTTACAATATTACTGAATAAAAGACATTTGAGGGAAAAAAAAAAAAAAACAGCTCTATCTAACACTTCCCAGGCTTTTGCCCAAGATCAAGAAGAGCACTGGTTCTCTTTAGTTCTGTGTCTGATTCATCCATCCTCTATGTCAGAACAATGTGCTAAATAGGTTTTTGAAACAGAGAGATGATGTGGAAACCTGATCGATCCTTTCCGTGAACGATACTGACGCAGCAATGTTTCCTGGATGGTGTACTAATTTAAAAATAAATATACCTTACAATACAATCATAACCTTTGTAAAGTATACATATATATAAGCCGGACACGGTGGCTCTCACCTATATTCCCAGCACTTGAGAGGCTGAAGCAGGAGGCTCACCATGAGTTCAAGGCCTAGACTACATAGTATGTTACAGGTCAGACCTTGTCTCCAAAAAAGAATGTATAATTATGTACGCATATACAATTTATTCCTATATCGGTATATATATCTATCAGCAAATACAAGTCATAGACTCAAGAGTTTAAATAAATAACTAAGAACAAACACAAAAGTGAGAATCATATAGTATTTTTTCTTTAGACAGCAAAATATTCATGATACTTTTCTTCTTCAGGCTTTAAAATTCCCTAATTTTGATATCTGCTATCTGTCTAGAAAAGGAAAAACTCAATCTTTCAATAGATGAGACAGATACACGGGTCCAATTTGGACATGGTCTCTTCATAACAGACACTTCAGTCCTGCCCCAACACACTCACCAACACAAACACCAAAACCAGAGACCTGTTGATTTCTTTTTATGTCTTCTCTCATAGGTTTCAAGAATCAAACTCTTAATTCAAACAAATGAAGAAAAGAGAGGTTTGTTCCTCTTAAACTT